GGCTGGCCGGAACATGCTAACTTGGGCGACCATGAGGGGTGCTTTCACACCCTTCACTACCCCCCACCGCTGCGTATGGGCCTGTCCCTACCAGTGCAGTGCTGAAATTGACACTACACATGAGCCAGGGCCAGGTGTTAGCTGCCCCGGTGATGGCCGTGGTGTAAGAACCAGCGTAGAATAGATGGGCGCAGGCACTAGCAGGCCGACTGTGTCCACTCACGCCTGGCTGGGAGCAGCAGACTGTGCTCTCCATGTAAATAGCTTCTCTCTTCACTCCACCTTCCCTGGAAGCTTTTCTAGCCCACGGGCCTTGGGAGAGTCTCAGTGTCTGTCTCCTGAGGGTCCCTCTTTGTGCAGTTCCAGAGCCTTAATCTTTCCCCCGGGCTGCAAGGGGAAGATCTGCCAACAGGACTCGGTGTTACTCAGTGAACTTCCCTCTGCAGAGTGGGTGGGCTTCAAAGATGGGGGGGTCTGGCATGCGCGGTGGAAGTGCTCCAGCCCGCTATGGCTGGTGTGCTGCAAACAGCCTCGCTCAGCTGGCAGATGGAAAGCTTTCGCTCGCCCATCTGGAAAGTCTGCCGGGCGGTGAAAAAGCTCACCTGAGTTACGGACCCTGCTGCCTCCCCCGGATGGCAAAATGCAAAGGGGACTGGAAATGCCCCGGCTTCCTGTGTGGTTATTGACAGACCCTTTGGCTTGGGGGCAGCAGCGGGAGATCACAGAAGAGAGGAGAGGGGGAGCAGCTCTCTTCTGCGGTAGAGCCCAGGGCAGAGCTGGGGGAAGCAGGTCAGCTCAGCGTGGATGCTCAGCCCTGTTCTGAATTTGGCCCAATAACTGCGTCCCCTCCTCTGCCAGATCGCTTGGGGGCCTTTCTTGGTCATAAGTCTCAGAGGGGGGGCCGTGTTAGTCTGTTACTTAAAAAAGGAGTCGTCCTGTAGCACCGTAGAGACGACCACAAATATCTATCCAGTATCATGAGCTTTTGTGGGCACAACCCACTTCCTCAGAGGAGTGGAGCAAAGAGGAGAAACCCCCTGAATGTAGCGCACAAAAAGAAGGGAGAGGGGGAGGGGGGAAACCCTTGTCGATTGTAGCGCCCGTGCTAAACGAGGTTAAGAGAATGGGCTGGATGTGTCCCATACTGAGCGTTTAACGTCATTTGGGGGTTGAATGTAACGGCCCATCCAGTTCATGTCTTTGTTCAGTCCCTGAGAGACAGCGTCAAATTTGCATAGGAAGGCCAGTTCCGCAGTCGCTCTCTGGAGCTGGCTGGTGACATTCCTTTGCGGAAGAACGGCGACTTTTAAACCCGCGACTGAGCGTCCAGGCAGGTTTCTGCGAGTGACCATTTGGAATATCTGATGGGTGTCCATTAACCCTTTCTTGTGGAGACTGTCTGGTCCATGGCCCAGGGGCATTGCTGGCACTTGCTGGCATAGATCACATTGGTGGATGTGCAGGTGGATGAGCCCAAGATGGGGTGGCTGATGTGGTTAGGTGCTGTGAGGGTGTCGCTTGTGTAGATGTGTGGACAGGATTGGCAC